AGACAAGGAAACCAAGAAAATTTGAAATTACAAAAGTGATCATTGCCAACACTTAGTACTTACCATGTACCTGGCATTATGATAAGCACTTAACATTGATTTTATCATTTATTCCTCATAACATCCCTAGAGGTAGGTATTATTATACTCACTAACAACAAATAACGCTGAGAGAGGTTAAGTAATTTTCCCCAGATCATATAATTAAAGTGGCAGGGCTAGTTCTTTGGGATCACAGTATCAAAAGAAGTTCTTATTGACAATCAATGTGGTAGAGTGGAGAAAGCCTTTGGGGCAAGCTCTGACCAAAAAGTATGTGTTGGGATGGTTTGGGGATCATTTCATTTTCTGTTGTAGCTCGAGTACTGAGATACACCCATTGATGGCTACATGGGACTTCTGTTGGCAAATTTTGCTGATGTCTTATTAAATCAGTTGGTTATTGTGGCTGAGGCTGTGGGTTTGCTCTTGCATGAATAGTTTAGGTCTTCTCTGTAGCCAGTTATCTTTCTAAATTATATTTTGTACACAAAGAAGCAGGATGAGAAAAAGTTAAATAGAACCATGCAAAATCAGAGGTGCAAGATTAACCATGAAAGATTAGATTTGGTAAAATAACCCAAAGTACATTGTTGTGATGAAGCTATTATCCAAGTGCTAAGTGTATCTTCAGAAGTTATATCCATTAGTCTAAGGATGAAGAGTTAATCAGCATCATTTCTCCCTGTTACTCTTCTTCCAACAACTGTTCCCTTCTCTCTCTTCCTAAGTCCATATCTCATATCTATAGCTGTGGCACTGAAATGTGACATATAGCTTTCTAGCTTTTTGTACACAAGCAAAAAGTGGTTGTGACTATAGGAGATAGCATTTTAGAATGAAGTTATATTTGAAACTGGTATGCAGGTCCCTCATCAGCCATTTCAGTCACCCAGACAGTGTGACCTGCCATCATGAAGCTTCTTTGAAAACAAAGGACAGTAGTACCCATATTCATCAAACTAGGACTTCAGCTACTATCAGCCCTTGGACTGCATGTGTACAAATGGGCCTGTGTGACCCTCAAATAACTGTCCTTCCTGTTTTGGGTTGTCACTTCCTGTTGGGTCAGAGATTAATTTTATTTGCTCTAGTACAGCGATTTTCAACTGGTATGCCACAAGAATTTTTAAAACCTGCAATATCTGACTAGTCAGGAGCACTGACCACTTTTCCCTTAGATTGTCAAATTGAAAAACTGACAACCCACAGAATAGCTGCCTGGTGTGAATGAATCAAAATTATACAACACGATAGCTGCCATGGTGTGAATGAATCAAAATTATAACTATTTATTTAGTCAGATTGACAAATAATATATTTTTGGTGTGCTTCAGAATTTAATAATTAGTTTATGTGTGCCACGAGATGAAAAAGGTTGAAAATCCCTTCTATAGTAAGTCAGCCCTGCCTCATTGCCATGGTCAAGGAGATTCACAGTTCATGAGTTCATGCCAATCCCAGGAGAGTCCATCAGATGGCAGCATCTAGGTAATTAGTGTTGGTGAGATAGACCCACTTCCAATCCTACCCTATCCCACCCCTGATTAAACTCTGTTACTAAAGAGAAGCAACTCTGAACATAAAGTCTTTAATATCCTGAATATTTGGGGAGTGTAGAAGATGTGGAAAAAGCACTGATTTTAGGCTCAGATACGTCTTGGTTCCTTCCTTTCCTCAGTCAACAAAAGCAATATTCTAACACTATATGGCAATGCTTTCTTAGTTGTGGCTCTGAAGGTTGTTGTTTAGTTTTGTGTGTTTTTTAAAAAAGAACTCTATTAAACATGCTTATTTTACGCTGCCAAAAATGCCAACAAAATGATTCTGCAACTAGAGTGGACAGCAAACTAACAACAGCTATTGAGAAGAAAGACACAGCATGAAGGATACATGCATGATGATGGATTATATCACCAGGGCCTAGTTTTTAGGTTGTGCATAGAAACAGCAAGGAAAGAAGTCACAGTGCAAGTCCTCTTTTGTGGAGATTGTGCTGTTGACATTTATTTTTTAAATTTCTTTTATCAGCCAATTCCACAAGTCTGAGAAACACCTTCATTCCCTATACCCATATCATTTCATTCATTCATTAGTTCCCTTGTTTTGTTCATTAGTTCACTCAACCGATATTTAATATTCTCATAGCACTTTGTCTGGATACTCTGATTTTTACTTTTTTAAAATAGGATTTATAACTTTTCAAAAAAAAACAACAGCTCAATTTTAATATCATTAAAAGAATTCCAACAGGTGACAAAGGTGAAGGAATTAAAAAGTACAAATGGCCAGTTTTAAAAATAGCCATGGGGATGCCAAGTCAGGATAGGGAATATAGTCAATAGCATTGTAATAACTATGTATGGTGTCAGATGGGTGCTAACCTTATGGGGTGATCACTTCATAAGGTATATAAATGTGTAATCACTGTGTGCTACAACTGAAACTAATATAGTATATGTCAACTGTAATTGAAAATTTTTTTAATTTAAAGAAAGAATAGACATATGAGAGGAAAGGCTAAACCTAAATGTTACTCTATCCTTTTCCCACACCTTCCTCAATTCCCAGATGTCAGGAGTTAAAATCAGTTTACAAACTCTC